CAGGGGAAACAGACAGCGACAGAAACAAGATAAAACAAAACAAAGACAAACAAAAACGCCACCTACAAGAAATACTCTGCAGAGTAGCTACAGGGATGAGGCTGAAGACTGCAGATCCAGACCTGAGGGAAGAGCACCAGGGAGGCTTTCTGGGGAGAACATCCCAGACGGAGAAAAACCTGCGAAGGTCCAGGATGAGCTCTTGCGGGACAGGTTTGAGGACAAAGAAGAAAGCCCCGCGAGGCCTTCCTTCATCTGTTCGTTTCTCAGCATGTTCCTGTGCCTGCAGGCTCCTGTGCGCTGGGAACACAGGAACAAAGGACATATCGGGGTGGGGTAACAGGGGCCACCCGCGGTTCCCTGACTGCCGCAGGGATCAGCCCTCTCACTAGGACACTTTCTTCAGCAAACACTGTTCTCACCACCTCCCTACCTCCCCCACACTGGATTAACACATCGGGCCACAAGCTCTGACCGAGGACATACTAGGCAGCAGCCTTCCGATTTTACTATGGTACCAGAAATGAGACAACCCAGGGCTGGAAAAATGGCTCAGCCATTAAGAGCACTTGGTGCTGGACCCAGGTTCGAGTCCCCGCACCCGCATGGGGATTCAAAACCATACATAACTCTAGTTCCAGGGGACCCAATGTCCAGCATGCATATGGCGCACATATATACACTCAGTGTGTGTGTGTGTGTGTGAGAGAGAGAGAGAGAGAGAGAGAGAGATGAATCTTCTCTGCCGAATCCAGCCTCTGATTTGTCTTCTGTATTCCGTTGCCCAGATACTAAACCCCACACCAAGAATGAAGCTGGTACAATAGGACAAGGCTGGGCCAGTATCTTAACGTGAAAAGCCCTAGATAAGTTAAACGTACTAGTTTAATGAAGCAAGTCTGGCAGCTTTAAGAGCCCCATCCTGCAGTTTAACTAGACAGCAGTTCTGGGAACAAGGCCAAAGTGAGGTCCTGTGTGAGTTCAGCAGCCTTCCCCTACCTTCTTCAGATCAGGAGGCGGGCCTCCTGTGACTGACGACAGCCTAGCAACTGTGATTGGCCAGAGGTCAGCTGGGCCGGTATTAAGCTCCGACAAGGGATTTCTTGCTGGTTCTGTACTGGTTAGATCTAACTACCTTGAGAAAGCGTTTGAATCTGGAGGGTTTCCCTGGGAAACATTAGTAAAGTTTGACCGGTAACCGATCTCTGGCATGACTCGGAGCTGGTTCTGAGGTGAAAAGCAACCCACAGCGGGGAGACCTCAGAGATGAAACAGGGGTGAACGCTCTAGAGAGACACTCTTGGGCCCCTCCCTCTGACCATCACATTATTGACACGACTGTTCTAAGGCTTTGGAACTTTCCCGAGTCTCAGCTGGGAGAAAGAAAAGTGAAGGGTGGGTGCAGCCGGAGAACCAACCCAGCACTGTGCCGATGAGCTCTTACTGCCGACTTACCACACCGCAGGGCAAGCCACGGAGGACAACGGCTCCTTGGCCAGGACTTCATTTAAACTGAAACAGCAGGTCAGAGCCCATGGCAGCTCAGTCTCCAAGTGGGTTGCCTAGTAGTGGGAACAGGGACTGTCTCTGACATGAACTCAGGGGTTGGCTCTTTGTTCACCTCCCCCTGAGGGGAGAGCAGCCTTGCAGGCCACAGAGGAAGACAATGCAGCCAGTCCTGATGAGACCTGATAGGCTAGGGTCAGATGGAAGGGGAGGAGGTCCTCCCCTATCAGTGGACTTGGGGAGGGGCATGGAGAAGAGGGAGGGTGAGATTGAGAGGGGCTGAGGGATAGGGCTACAGCGGGGATACAAATTATATAAACTAATTTATAAGGATATATACAAAGGATATAAACTGTAATTTATAAAAATATAAATTTTTAAAAAGTGAAAATAAAAACAAAACAACAACAAAAACCATCAGGTCAGGACTTCTAAGATGGACTTGGGGATCGTGGGTTCACTGAGCCTCTTTGTTTGTTCCTCTTCTCAGTACAGCCACATTGAATAAATCTCCTTTCTCCATTTCCCACTATTATGTGTTTTTATTATTGATACACTGAGCCTAGCAACTCAGGGCTGCTAGGGTCCAGGCTCCTAAAAACTCCAGTAACAAGAAGCCCTGGAAAACTGGAGAGATGGCACAATGGTTAGAGTGCACTCTGCTCCTCTGAAGGACCGCAGTCCGTTCCCAGCACCCTGAGTTCCAGCTTCAGAGGGGTCCGGTGCCTCTGCCGCCCGGTAGATGTATGCACATCTCTACATACGTGAGCAGATATATATGCACACATGTATTCACAGGAAGCAGCAGCCGTGTAGTGGGGGCCTAAAATTCCAGACTATTCAAAGGGTGCAGCAGGGGGATGAGCGGGCAGCAGCGAACAGGCACCACTGTCCAGCCCTGAGGATGGCAGGAGAGTGGTGCAGAAGGTAGGGACCCGCTAATGGGTTCAGCAATCAGAACGCTGTGGCCGTTGGCGCCAGCCAGGGAGCCATGAACGGCTGGGGAGAACACACTTCATAAGGAAGACACATGTTTAAGAGTTTTGGCTGTGAAGAGCAGGAGTGTAAGACAGGGGGGCTGTGCGGCCAGGGAAGCCAGCATGGAGCTAATGCGGGGTGGAGACATGTCCAAACCCCAGAAATCTCAACCTTGAGATGGGCAGCCGTGAGGACCGCTCCCTCTCCTTCCGTGCCCGAGGGCCCTGTAGCACGTAGCCTTGGTGAGGGAGTCAGTTTCCAGATCAATTTGGTTCCAAAGTCGACCTGACGCAAACACACACATACACACCTACCTCACTCAACAGGCTCTAAAAAAAAAAAAAAAAACCCGGGTCTACAGAGGAATATGCACAGTGAAACATTTTCTAGGGTCAAGGCTGAATCTAATGTGAGTTTAGTTTTTACTTTTGATCAATATTTATCAAACACTACAACACAGCAGTATATTGGTAAATTGATAATGATAAGGGTAGAAAAATCCAGAATTCTTTATGGATGTCTAACAATAGTCGGCAGAAAGGAAATGAAACTTGGGCTCTCTTCTTTCAGAAGTCAGCATGCTACCCCTCCTGAGGAGGATCCAGAGGCCACAGGGCCAGAGCTGCAGCGTGGCATCACAAGGTCACCCTCAGGAAAGTCAGTGCAGGTACCGTCACTGACAGAATGAGAGCCTCTGCCTTGCCAAGCTCGGTACACCGCAGAAGCGATTCAGCTAGCACACGCAAGCAAAAGCTCACCCAGACACGGCTGGAGCGGCTGCATCCTGCACTTGAGGCCACCCGACTGTTCCAAAGGTGTGGAAGAGGTGCTGCTGCACCTCCTGCTCTGAGGAGGCCTGGTCATGCAGAAGAAGTATCCTGAGAGGCTTGAGACCACACAGAGGGAGGGTCATTAAAAGACTTGCGGAGTTTTGGAAAACATACGTCTATAATGTGATATTTAAACCTTTTAAATGAGGAAATTCTTAAGCAATGTCCGCATTAGAACTTTATATGTGAAGTCAAGTTCAAAATAAAGTTGTTACTGAAAAAACAAACCAAACTAAAGAAAACCCCGCAAAGGGCAAGCTACCACAGGAAGGTGTATGTTAATGAAACTGATGAGTGACTTTGGAATGTTTGCTCATAACTCAGAGCAGGACACTCGAAAACCAATAGAGATGTTGAGGATATTAGGCATCAATATCAACTTAATATTAATTTAACAGGTTAAAATATAATAATATCAACTTAACAGGTTAAAAACATAAACCTGAAAAGCAAAAGTTTTTATGCTTGTGAAGTTTTGGTTAAATAAACTATCTGTGTGATAGAATGCTACACAGCCTTTAAAAGAATGGGAAGATGCTGATGTGAGATTTCCAAACTATATTTATGTAACAGCAAATGAAGAATAAACTATCTTTTCTGTGCAGAATACACATGGAGTCATGTTTGTAAATACACATGGCTATGTCTGAAAAGCTAGGCCAGCACTGACGTAATAGGGGCCCATGAGGAGGAGGAGGAGGAGGAGGAAGAGGAGGAGGAGGAGGAGCAGGAGGAGCAGGAGCAGGAGCAGGAGCAGGAGCAGGAATGAAGTCACTGTCAAGAAAGGAGAGGAGTTTTTTCTTGTTCCAAGTGCATCTATTACATACTCAAGAAGTGCTTTGCTGGCACCCTTCTCTTTGCCGGATGGGGCTGTTGCTCAGGCCCTGGCACCACACAAAACAAACCGGGATCACTGCACCAACCCTGGCTCACCAATGTTGGAAAATATTTTTGTCAAGTTGGTTAATCCCTAGATTATCTTAACCTGATTTTTTTTCTTTTTCAATAGACGATGATGTGAGTTTGGTTATTACAGCTGACTGAGCCTTATTGGTTGAGTGGATCACCTACATGGCCCCAGGTTCTTCATTTGAGGATGAGCTTTGAGTGGAGATGACTCCAAACATTTCTCGTTTGAAAGATGCCATGACTGTGACTCACTGTTGTATACTGGAAAAGAAGAAAAGGGCAACAACATGGCAGGTCAGATGGTATGCGAGTGGGGCCAGGGTATAGGCCCGTGTATAAAATGCTTGCCATGAGAGTGTGGGGATCTGAGCCTGGATACCAGAACCCAAGCAAACCTGGGCACAGAAGCTCTGACAGTGACAGTGGGCAGAAACAGGAAACTCCCTGGGGGCTCCTGGGCAGCTGGCCAAGTGGACACAACAGTTTACAACAAGAAACTCTGTCTCAAATAAAATGGAAGTTGGGGGCCCACATCCAAGTCTGCCCTGACCTCACACATATGTCATGGCACATGCATGCCCATGTACATGTGAACACAGATACACAGACACCAAAGATTCTTTTTGACCATTAATAAAAGAGCCCTGTACAATTAACATTTTCACAAAACACCACATTCCTTAACCACACTTTAAAATTTCCCTTTCATTTTTCTTCTGTCTTTGAAGCACCCCAAGAACAAAAAAATAAAAATAAAAATACAAAAAGAAACAGATCTGACTGAAGAAATTTATTTACTTTTTCTCCTAGGTACATAGATGACATAATTATAGACAAGGTCTGCTACACAGGAAAACCCTTCTGTCCACCCTTCGTTTTTCTAAATGGATCATCACAATTGTTTTTTTTTTTTTTTTTTTTTTACAATTTTAAAACAATACACAGCTTTCCTGGGCTGAAGCAATTGCAAGAACATATTGGTATTGGTATATTACAGCTACTTACAATGTTTAAGAACAGCAATGGAGAAAAATAAGTTATTTAAATACTGATTTCATATACAGAAAGTGCAATGCTGTCAGGTGTCATATAACTTTGCTTGACAGTTTGTTTATTTTTTCTATCAATTTAAAAATCAAGATAACTTGGACTCAAGACAGTTAGATTCTTCTGGAAGATCACTCAGTCCTCACACAGCAGTGATGTGGAATCTACTTCTGCTCCTCTGCAGCTGTGAACACAGGATGGATGCTGTGTTGGGGAGTCACTTCATCCACACCTGGGTCAGGACAGAGAAAAGGGCCCCCAAATATGCAAGGCCATGAAAAGCTAGTTGCTCTCGTTATTGGGAATGTAAATAGTAGTTTGGGCAGCTGCTTTCTCTGCAGACAGCTGTGACATACAAATCGCACACATTCTGGGGAGCTACCTGAGCCGAAACGCCTTTCCAGGTTTCTTTTGTGCTTTCCAAAGACAACAATTTTTCACCGTCACTCAAAATTCTGTACCAAATACAACTGATCAAAACTGTATATTGCTAAAGCCTGCCACCTGGCCACCAGCCACAGGCAGCCCCACATCACCTCAGTGCCACACACCAACATTCAAGCTTTTTTTTCAGACCAAATGAGACGCTCAAAGCAAAAGAAAACCAAACAAACACTAAAGATAGATAGATAGAAAGAAAGAAAGAAAGAAAGAAAGAAAGAAAGAAAGAAAGAAAGAAAGAAAAAAGAGGACAACCTCAGCCCCTTCAGATCAGACATTCACACTAAATTTGTGGTCCCTGAATTTTCCATGCAAAGGCAATGATTTCCAAAGTGACAAAAAAATAGTGTTTGGCATTCTCGAGACCTCTGGTTCTAGTTTGGTCTGCACTGAGAAGGAACTGAAACTTGCCAATTCACACAAGATTTCTCCTTCTCCCTTGTTACCTCTAATGTGGCTCCTGTGTGGTCTCTTTGCTCAGGTAGAATCATGGGCAGAGTCTGTCACAATGTCAGGCCAGGGTTACGTCAAAGGCAAGAGGAGAAGCCTGCTTTTCCAATTCCAACCCCACAGAAGCATCAGGAGCGCTGACAACCCTGTATCCACACCCACTAGGCAGGCTATGCCACGACCCAGGAGGCAACCGTGAGCTCTTTTAAAGAGACCAGGAGGCAACTGGTGGATTTACCTTTTATTCTAAATTGCCTCAACTTCTTCACACGGCATCCTATAGAAGGCGAATGGAATCAAACATATTATTGTTATTGTTGTTTTCAATGAATACTAAAATGGGGGGATCACCTGAGAAAGTTCATTTCCTCAGAGATATGGATCCAGCGATATCAAGCATATGGTCAGGATGGCTTGGTTATTAATAAAATTACTTGCCCTTCTCTCCTGAGGGAAATCATGTTTCAATAACCCAATAAAATATCAGAGGACGAATCCAGGCCTTGTGTTCAAAGTGCTTTCATGGTAACTTGAGACCTCGCACAGTGCTTCTAAGAAAAGCCACACTGTAAGCAAAGGAGCCTGTGTACCTGTCTGCATTTGCTAGTTGCTAGAAAACTAGACACTAGACAAAAAGAGAACAGATTATGCAGAAATCACAGTTGGAAAAACAGTTGAAAATATGCAATATTTAGCACACAGCTAATGTGGTTTGTCTGGCTTCAAATGAACCTCTGCTTCAATTAAAATAATTAAGAAACAAATGAAAGATAAAGATAATAATAATTATAGAACTGGCCAAAAAAGGAAAAAAAAAAAAAAAAAACAAAGTAAAACAAACAAACAAAAACTTTAAAGAACTGAGTTTTGTAAACTACTTCCCTTTTTAGAAAAAAAAAATCTTTCTGAAATATGCAACATTACAATGACTTTCTACAAAGGTGATCCGTTAGCTGATGGATGGACTCTGGAATGGATGTGGTCAGGATTCTGCAATTGTGGCCACCAGGATGGCCGCTCAGTGAAGTGAGTAGAATGAAGGGCAGTTACTCAGAAGCCGGGGAATACACAAGCCCCACCGTGAATCCAGATCAACCTTTACTGAGTTTGTAGTTAGTTTAAAACCTAAAAGTCAACGTGAAATGTGTGCCTGGTGGTCACTCCTATAAAATAAGCCATGTTAGAACGAGACTGTTAAAAAAAAAGGCTATTTCTGTGGAAACATCCCAAATAGTTAGATGGCAGTCTAAGCTGAAGAATTTTGGGACTAGGGTTAAGGGTTGCAGACACTAGATAGATAACTGGTTAAAAGTTTATATTAAGGCAAATAAAAGCTAATTGCTAGAAAGCAATTAAAATGTCTCTTGTTTATCTACAGGAGAGGAGGACTGTTGTGTTCTTGCTGTAGCCAGCTGGTCCAGCTTCTGAACTCATGAGCACAGTCAATAGTGTACAGTAACTCCAGAGTCTGTTGCTTTGGCCTAGCTAAGCCCGGTGGGCTTGGGCATCCAGCAGGGTGACCAACAGATGGGCGAGGGCACGATGAGACGCGAGCAGGCTGCCTTGTCCTCTTCTTCTAGCCCTCTGCCAGCACGGAGACAGACTGGACGCACAGTGTTTGCTGTGCGTTGGCATCTTGGCTCTTCTGTGTCTGAAAGCAAGACTAAGCGCTGGTCTTGCCTGTGGGCATCAAAGAGAACCACACTGGTTTCCTCGAGGGCACGGGGCAGGAACTTTCCAGGACAGGGTCCTCGGCTCTGTGTCCTAATCCTGAAATTTGTGAGCCCCACGTGGGGACCTTTCTTCCAGATCAGGTCAACCCCAGCAGATAGGGAGGGATTGTATCAGCTTCCTAAGCACAGTGAAAGGCTGGCTCTTGTCCAGGGAGGACCACGGCAGGCCTGCTACATGGCCTCGGGGCTCGGGGGCAGTTTGAACAGTCTGGCTGCGGAGATGAGCTTCTGTATGTGACGCTCCTCTGTGATGCCGGCCTGCTGAAGGCAAGTGTGGGACAGGGAAGGCACTTGGCTCAACGCGCTGAACCCTGCGTCAGAAAGCGTGCTGGTGTACATGGGCAGGCCAATGGAGACAAGCCAATCCGACACAGACGCAACACATCCTGGAGAGAGGGGTTTCCTGCAGATTTCTGTGAGCCCACCGCTTGGGATCTAAGCAAAGAAGGAAAGCCACATTATGAAGACTGCAGAGGCTGTGAGAGAGCTACATTTTGTACGGCTGAAAGGGTCAGGACTGCCCCTGCCAAGGGATGTCAAAGTGAACGTTAAGAGCGCTACTCCAACACTGAAAAGATCCTCACGGAGCTATTCTAAAAGATTTCAGAACTTCGGGATTACACCAAACCCCAGTTATGTGTGTAAGCTATAGACATTTCCCTATATTCTGTTATTTTGCCTCCATGAAGTCCCGTAACTGAGGGGAACTGTGGAGAGAAACCTGTGTGTCACTTAGAAAAGGATGTTCAGTGGGTAGGGTTTTTATGAAGTGTATCTTCGACTCTATAGTAATAGCCAGAAAATTAAATATTTAAATGTACATGGCTAATCAACAATTTAAAATATAATAATATCAAGAGCTGACCAGGACAGAGAAATGGACGTTGAAACCTGATTGCTAGGATTGTCTTTCAGAAGGAGATATATAGAGTATAAAAGCCCACACTATTTTGTATTACTGTGTATGTACTCATATTCAGGAAGGTACACATCAAATGGGTGGAGGCCAGAGGCCAGAGATCAACCTTCCCTGTGTTTACTCAGGAGCTGTCCATCTTTTCTTTTGAAACAGGGACTCCGACCTTCACCTAGCTGCTCAGTGAGCTCTAGGGACGTACTTGTCTCTCCCTTCTGAGTCACACCTAAGATCACAATTGTGGGCCATGACACCCAGCTTTTTTCCACATGGGTCCTGGAAAGTAACCTTGGCTCCTCTTGCTCCTCTGATCCCCGAGCCTTCTTTGCAGCTCTGATTTTGTGTGATCTTGATGAAGCAATCTCATCAAAGAATAAATCCTCAGATATTATTGGAACATGTTTTAAAGCAAGCTGCTTTTCACTATACCATTTAAAATAAAAGGCTAGGAATAAACCCTAAATGTTTATTAATAAGTAATTGGCTAAGACATAGAATACTCACCAAATTAAAATCTTGATAATAAAAAAATATTTTACTAATATTCATGATCTGATAAGTAATCAGGCTTAAAACACACATATGTGCAAAGAAATAACTAGCTTAAAATTGAGAACTAGAAGTCATATACTTAGAGGGCATACAGCATGGTCTTTGGAGCAACGCAGACTCACACAATGGCTAAGTCAAGCTACTTCACCACTGCACACACCTTTCTCTCATATAAAGAGAATAAAAAACGCAGCAGCATCTTCCACCGAGGGTCTGACACACTGCTGTCAACTGTTGTTTTCGTGGGATGCAGGAAGAGCTCCTGAACTTACTCATTTGGCTGAATTTTTGGTGTGCTGTGTATGGATTTTGAGAGCAGGTATAAAGCTGGGACATGATGGACCTCCCTTTTTGCCTTTCTAACACTGTCTTAACCTGGCCATCCCGGCATGATGCCTGCAGTCCCAGCACTCAGGACACGGAGGCAGGAAGATCACAAATTAGAGGCGAACCTGACCATGTCTGTAAGCAAACAAACAAATGACAATGGCAGTGTAGTTTCGTGGTACAGTCCTTCTCTAGCATGCATAAAACCCTGAAAAATAAAATTGAAGTCTAGGCTGTCCGATTATTTCCTTCCTAGGTGTCTTTTCGTGGGGCTCTAGCAAGCCCTTGTGTCGTCAACACCTGCCAGCCACGGCCTTACACCTAAGCGTACCGCAGACAGCTACCGTCTCCCCGCAACGAGGGCTGCTTACCGCCATTCGATGCTGCTTCCGAAGCAGCTTCACCCGGATCTGGTCCATGTTGGTGGCAACATCCCTCTCAGGCTGATCTAAGTCCTCCGCGTATCGCTGTACCAGGGCTTCAGGGATCCCACAACGGCCATGCTGCCAGGGGAAAGAGCAATGTGGCATGAATGGTGTACAGACATCTCCCCACCTAAGACACACAGCTTGGCGATCAGAAAACAACACCAGCAGTTTTAGTTCAAAAGGAACATAACCTGCTCACTACTGGGGCAGATTCACGAAAAGGGGCACACTTATATCTTAATCGCCCAAATACCGATGAGCTCTAAAAAGTATTTCAAAACACAATTAAGGTAACCCAATCCTGTATTTCTCAGGCCAATGCTTTAAACTCATTTTACAAAATTCAGTCCCTTCACGTTGCTGCACAGGGTCCCCCCATCTGTAGAAAGCCAACCCACTGCCCTGCTATTCGCTCTTCGTCTGAGACGACGCCACCATGTCACCAGGCCTCTCCCTATTTCCCTTCAAAGGTACATAGTCATGAATTATCAAAGAGGTGGAAAGAGAGAAAGGGAAGGGGCTGTTCTCAGGAGGCGCTCACGACCACAACGAGGACCCTTGGGAGCACATTACAGATCTCCAGAAGGAAAGTGGAGCCACCTCTATTACCACCGATCTGTCTTCAAAGTCGCTTTGGTGTTGGTAGCCTTTTCCCCTGCCCTTTCAAATGAGAACTGTATTTCGTTATAGACATGTTTTTGATGTATCAGGGCCTTTCCTATTACGCCCTCCACCTCCGTTAGGTGTGATTGCGGTGCTGCACCTGAACAGGGTCTGGACTGTATGTGCTCTGTGGTTGTCTATGCAAGCTCCCACTAACTGTATTCCCTCACAACAACCTGTCTATGAGTAGGGAATGCGGGTCATTCGAAACCCCAGTTGAACCACACAGAAACGAACCCATATCCTGCTGTGGGATATGCACCCTTGATTCGGGCCGTTCTTGCCCATTTTCTCATTACGGGCCAGTTCTGGTGCTGAGTGTGTCCCTGCCAAGTGCAGCTGCCCTAACCTAAAACCAAGCAAGAGGGAAAGAAAAGCAAAGCTGCAGCTGTATTTAATCCAGGGGTAGTGGGTAGTACTTCCAGCTCAGAGGCCGTAGGTAGAGGTGCCATGCTGTCTGCTACACATGTGGCTAAGCGGGCGCATGCCTCGGGAGGCAGATGAGGCCAGCTTGGTCTACAGAACAAGTTCCAGGACGGCTGGGCTACACAGAGACACACTGTCTGGATACCTTATCAGAGTAGGGCTCCTCGGTGAGGTCGATGCCCTCGGCCTGGAGCTTGTTCTCCGTGAGCATCTCCAGGTCCATGCCCCGGGCACAGGACACCTTCCTGCTTAGCGCTGGTCCCAGCTTCACACCATGGCCCTGCAGGCTGCTGCTCTCAGGCAGCTCTGCCAGCCAGGGCGGGGGTCTGGCGCAGACTGGGCCGCCTGGCTCAGTCCCCAAGGGAGGCCTGGGCTCCCGGGGAGAGGGGCAGTCGCAGGGGCTGGCGGGGCTGGCAGGGCCGGCCTTCTTCAGTGGCAGCACGGGTGCCTCCAGGTTAGGGACCAGGTGCAGGCCATTGGCCAGGCGCTCTCGGCTCTTCTTGGCGGGCACAGGCGGGGGCTGCGATGGATGTCTGGGCTGCGTCCTGGTCTCGGGGGCGCTCTGCTCCCCATCTCCCCCTTCTTTGGTGCCCAGGGGGTGGTGGTCATGTCCTTTTTTGTGACCCTCAAGAGACGTCCTTGTTAAGCTGGGTTTAACTGGAGGCTGGGCCTCGAAGTTTCTGGGGACACACTGAAGAGGCGATATGCCAAGTTTGGAGGTCACAGCGGAGCCGTCCGGCTTCTTGGCCATTGTTTTCGGGGGGTCAGAAAATCTCTTGCTTTGGGTCAGAAGCATCACGTCTTCAGCAGTGGGATCTCGGCCTCGGGACAGAGCCTCGGAGGTGCAGGCAGATGTCTTCTGTGGCACTTCTGGGACATTCTGAGGGCAGGTTTCCAGCACCTCACTAGGCACATCCTTGCCAGCATCAGCCTCTCCCTGAAGGTCATCCAGGGAATGGGATCGGGGCCAGCTTTCCACTGGCTCAGGACCCTCCAGGGTTTCACAGCTGCGACAAATGGAGACCGGGAGGCTTCTTCGGTTTTTATTCAAACTAGTTACACAGGGCACGTCACAGTGCTTGGCGGTGTCCGGGGCTAGACCTCGTCCCAGCCTGCCTTCCTCTCCCTGCTGCCGCACCTCCACTGATTTAGTTAGAGGCAATGTTGGGTAGTTGCCTGGCTGACTCCTGTTGAAAGACTTTAAGTTGGACTCCGTGGATGACTTGGTGGGCAGAACGCTGGGTTTTTGAGTTTTGCCTGGGAGAGGAGGAGAGATTTTACAACTGTTTCAAAGTCAATGAACAAAGCAGGGCTAGGACCTAATTCCTGTATCAACAAAACCATCACATAGGTCACTAAAATAATAATAATAATAATAATAATAATAATAATAATAATAATAATAATAATGTTGGGTGATTAGCTGTCCGTTTTTATTTTTATAAAGAATTCTAGTCTTATTAAAGTACTTATAGAGACTGGAACTAATTGGTTATGTGGAAAGAAAATGCTGTGTCCAGCAGGAGGCTAGAACTAATACCTATTCCAAGCTGCTTTCGGTGTAGAAAACTGACTGACTTCGTATGCCCTGCCAGAAACCAAGCCGCAAGATCTCTGTGTGCTGGATACCAGTTTCTGAAGTCGTGGATGACCTGATTCCTTAGAATAGGTTCCATGAAAGGTACCCACAAAGGGGTTAGCAGAACAAAAACTCAGATAATTCTTTGCATCAAGCTGTTCTGCCTGAACACAATGACCCGGAAACAGGAACGGACGGACGGGTGCAGAGCAGCCAACGAGCTGAAGGGGGCGCTTTGCTGGGACCATCTACGGCAGCCTTCCTCGGTCGGCTAGCGCTGAGTGCTGGCTGACCTGTCACCCTGACGTAGCTCACTAACTGGAACTCTTGGCTGTTCACCCTGGCAGCTGCTGCGTGACGAGCTTTCCTGGGGACGTGCTGCGACTTTGTAGGCGTGTGTGTGAGCACAGGTGAGCTCACACGCACACAGCACGCACACGCACGCACACGCACGCGCACGCACACATCAACGGTGCTTGGTCTCCTCCCTCACCAGTAACACATCTGTATGTCCCTAGTGGCTGGTCTGGTAAACCTGAGAACGTCCCAGGTAACAGAGTAGCTGAGCCATGTGATTGCGTCGCTCTAGAAAAAGATGAAAATGCCACAAATCTTCATCAGGCTTGGAAGGTATGAAGAAAGGCTGCCTAATTTCCAAAACCCGGTAAGTTATCCTCAACGTAACTAAGAGGTTCCCCTGGCCTATTAATAAGCTTCCTGAATTCAGTGTTTTAATGCAGAATACTGACCCCTGATACACAGTATCAGCCTTTCCGTTAATACACACAGGGCAGCGGGGAGAACCCGGGCTGTGGACCAGTCTGATAGGGAGGGTTGGATTGTGTCCACTCAATGAGGAAAGCAGCTACTTTAGGGCAAACAGACAAAATTCTTTGATTAAAAAAAAAAAAAATCTCTATGTGGGGGAGAACAGATGAAGGAAACAGAACAGGAAGAAAAGGCCTGGGGGTCTAACATTACAAGTGCTTTGGTCTTCGTCAGCAGGGAGAAAAGGGTTCCTTCCACGATTTCACAGCTTTCTAAGCTCACTCAAGCCTCAGACTGATAGTATGAAGTGTTTCCCAGCAAGCACAATCGCAGACCCTGAGGCTGGTGGGGGGGGGGGGGTGAGCAGCGCTCTCCTCAAGTGGACTTTTATTAATGAGGCCATCCTTTTGGATAAGACCCAAAAGCAGAGACCCAGCCAAAAGGCATGTGTCCTCTGCTAAGTTCATACTGTCCCACCTGATGTCTACACTAATCAAGAGCAACACACTAGTCCTTTCCTGACAGGTTGCTATTCTGTTGATACACAGAGATATTAGCTTATTGTAATATTCAACGGACTGCCTCCATTTCTTCTGAACAGAAGAATCACCACAGCCAAATGGAAAAGGAAAATACTTCATAGATCCTATCATAGGAAAGCTTAAACAGCAGCTGAAATAGAAAACTCTAATTAAAATCCATTGTGTTTAAATTTTAGAAATAGGTTTTCCTTTCTTACTGCCTCTCAATACAAACCACATGTATCAATGCCAGCTTCACATTCTGCTTCATATAGGAGGAGCCCTGAGTTCACCTTGAAATCAAAGCATGGTTCACCAGTTGACTTAATCCAGTTCTTCAACAGATATATCCGAATTCTCCTGGCATTAAACCCTTTGGCAGTGCTATCTTCCCTGATTTACCAACCCAGCACAGCTGGGTTAATCTTACATGATTGCTTCAGCTATAGAAAAGTTATTAACAGAAAAGTAAAAAGCCCTCCAAAACTACCCAAGGATTTGCTAAAAGTGGCCCAGTGCTGGCTTCCTGGATGGGTTTTGCATTGCATTTTGATCAAGGCTATCTAAATGTTAAAACCTCGGAGGATCTGGTTATCTTCCCAAATTGCTAGGACATTCTGGGTGGCAGAACTTATAGGTTAATTTCTGGGTTCCCAAGATGCTTATCAGAATCGACATGAGTGTGAGGCTGGCAGGAAGGCCGCAGATGCGGGTGTGGGCGCGTCAGCTAATGGTGCATCAGGAGAATTTGAACTCAAATATTTGTTTACCTTATCTTAGAACTAGTCTGGGTGTCCATACTACTTGTTTTTAAGCATGATTTACAGAAAGAAACACAACTTACGTCCACCATCCAACACACATATCTGATACAAAGATTACAGCAATGCCACTGATGACGCTAGGCCTTACCTCATGGACTGCACCGACGCTTTCTATTGTGTCCCAGAACACCGCCCTCCATGGCTTACTAAACTGATTCCACAATCCACTCACAAACTGCAACCAGAGGTTAAGATGGCTGGCTTCAGCAAATGCTAAGAAATACCTTGCTCCTATCAGAGGGAATCCCAGTGGCCACTTAAGGCGACGAAACCTCGGTGTGTTTTTACTACGGTCTCAAGTGTTCGACAGAGATTTAGGTCATGATGGTGGCATGAACCCTTCACTACTGCTTCTAATCTTTGTAACAATGGTAATTTGGGGGACACAACAGGAAGCCACAGAGTCACCTGCTGTTTATCCCGTCTGCCTCATTCTGCTTAAGACCTCCGTTCTGCAGGGAGGAAGCATTCGGGGTTTTATGTCGATTGCTTCCCAACTGTTACTTGATAGAAGCCACAAATAAGACATGTGGCCTCCTAGTCACCCTCTCTAGGGGTGATTGCCTCTGGAATCGGGCTGCAACACGGCTGCTGGGGTTCCCTTGATGGATGGTCTACCTGGTAAATTGCTTTCCTTGTGGGCCTAATCGTTCCCAGTACTGAGATCTTGGTGGTTACTGCATGAAGAAAAGGGCACAGGAGACAAACAATTTAGGTTTTATGGCTGCAGGTATTTTAGACAGAATTGATAAACTTCACGTAGCAGCCTGGAAAAATAAACAGAGAGGTAGACTGAAAAGTAGTTGGGGACAAGGCCAGAAATGGAAAGATGGCCACCCGCATCATCGACCTAAAAGAATGGAGTCTTTGGACACACTTGAATTGGGATCACTGAAGCAGGTCCCGTGGTCTGAGGCAACATTACCATTTTCCAGGTTCTCGCTGCTCTCATAGCATCCGGAGTCTCGTGGGGAACACCCGCTCAGGCCCTGGCTGTCCACCAGCAGCTTCTCCTGGGACCCCGACTGGTCACTGTTACCTGGAGATAAACACACAGACCGATGTCATAAGAAGTCCCCAAACCAGCCAGATTTAAAAGAGAGAAAGAAAGAACCGATGCAGTCAGGACACTTCTCTTCCAAGCAACGTAGCCACTACGTGAAAATAAACTTGGCGAGAACCCAGGGCTGAAATATGCTGATGCTTCCCACGCTGCCCAAACAAGAGGCAGACTGAGGCCACAGGGGGAGGAGGAATACAGAGCCTGTACCGTGGGACGGGCAAGGAGGAGGGTATGCTGGCACCACTCAGTGAGGAGTAGCGTGCGTGAACGCGGCGTTCACAAGGTGGGTAAGGTCGAGTGCTTTCCAGACACCTGGAAGACTTGCACTTCAAGTCATTTATGTTACGAATTTGGGGGCCTATGTGAAAGTGTCAAATGAAATACTACTTCATTAGCATCAGGAGAGACTGTTAACCTGGGATGACAATACACTGCCTGCTGAATCGTCTCTGCCAGAGAAAGGCTGGAGAGAGAGAGACAGAGACCCCACACCAGGAGGAACAAATCTTCTGTCTGTCTTCTGGAGTGTTGACAGTTTCTTTTCTTCCTACCCTCCTCCCACTGCCTTGGGCCAGCACTTCTATTCCCTGATCCAGGGTGGGAAAAGTGTTCAGGAGACCCTCTGACTGGCAAGCAGAGGAGCCAACCGGTGTAAACGAAACAGCCCCAGCCTGAGCAACCCATCTAAAAAGAAGCATTATTTATCAACCGGACCTCAGTAAGGGCAGGGGGGAAATCAGGAGACAAGTTGGCTGTGTTGCTTTAGGGAGGGCCCCTAGAGTAAATCACATGAAAAACCACGTGAGCATTCAGTTCCCAGGCAGCACCGCTCTGTGGTTTCTGTAGGGGGAGCCCAGAATGCTGAGGTTTCACACGGATCATCTTTCGATAATTATGTAGAAAAAGCACTTGGTCTCACAAAACGGAAACCAAGAGAACATTTTTCTACATAAAATAGTTGGTCGCAAAGACAAATGGCTTTAATTTGTTTTTCTTTCCCTTCGCCTCTCACCTGCCCACCCCAACCACACACAAGAAGAAAAAAAGAAACAAGGAAATCAATAAACCAGAAATATGATGCCTTTTCTCAGGCCATCAAAATAAATCTGTGGAGAGGCGGCGGGTTGCCATGCCACACATAGGCTGGTGGATTCCCACCATCCTTTTCTCCACTTCCTGTTTGTATTTCTTAAAAGAAAAGCATTCTGTAACAAGTGTAATGCCAACAAGGCTGTCAGAACACATTCTCAAATTATATTCCCAAACAGTGCTAAGTATCAAGCAATTAGTGATAAAAATTAACAAACTAGAAGCACATGAGCAAATCCTGCTCCTCCCTTAGAACAACCCCCACAACGGATCGCTCTACAGTGAGGCCCTCATCCTGGGAAGAGCCTGTGGATTTGGGCCGGCCTTTGTTCTTGTCTAGCATGCTATTTAGAAAAATGATCTTTCTACATGAGGCCTTTGACCTGTCCTTGGCTACCCAGAGAGAGGGATCACTCATCTGTCCCCGGCGCCAGCAGCCCGGTGTCCCACAAGGCAAAGAGGACTGATGATTTCTGACTGAGCGTACAAAAGAGAAAACATTACTGCCACTGCTGAGAAGTGCATTCTGGGACCCCAGCCTTACCCGGCCCCATAAGGTCCTATTGTGACAGAAAAGGAAAGGATCTCTTTTATGCCTGAGAACATGGTACACTTTACAGTCGTGTGGAACACACAAGGGTCTAGAGTCGCCACCTTCCCCAGGGAGAAAGGAGGCAGGTGACTCTTAGGCGTCGAGACTTTCCCTCACACTCACGAGCTTCAGTGCCAACACAGGAAACAGAAGACCATGAGAAACCAGCCATCGTCAGTCATCGTCATCGAAAGGGCTGAAATCCCATCTGGTCATGACCCACTCACACACATGACCATGCACATGGAGAGAATACATGAAGACCAGATCCTCAGACATCAGAAGCGACACATAAGGGCACACACCGTTCTCTAGAAAGCACTCTTCTTAGGAAGGAGGGGAAATGGGATTCCTGGAGAGAAGCCCCTTTAAAAGGGCTTGCAGCATTTCCCCTATGGAGGCTGTTCCTTCCTGAACCCAGGAAGTGCTTGTGCACACATCTGCTCTCTTCCTCTCTGTGCTTCCTGCATGCTTCAGATAATCTTTACTTACGCGTCTTATACAAATGAACACCCCTCCTCCTCCTTTTGAGTCAGGGTCTCTGTAGCCCAGGCTAGCCTGGAACTTTCGGTAATCCTGCCATACTTGCTTCAGTGCTCATTCACCCAGGAAACAGTAAGCTGAGGTCACAGGTGTGAGCCAGCACGCCCAGCTTCCCAGCGCTGAGAACACCGAGCTGAGGTCACAGGTGTGAGCCAGCACGCCCAGCTTCCCAGCGCTGAGAACACCGAGCTGCACACGATCGTGGTGACGATGGCACACTCTACGGTCTATGTATTTTACTCCTTTTTTAAGGCAAATGCTTTTAGGGGCATTTTCATTTAGAGGACCTACAAGATTACAAGGAAGAGTGAGCCGATCATCCTCTCTAGATGGAAGGCTGACTGCAGGCCACCTTTCTTCGCCTATGGGGGACCCTGCGCACTCTGCTTCCAAGCCATGCTGCAGATGTTACTTTCATTGGAAGTAACTAGAGAACTAGAGAACTTCAAGGTATTTCTATACATTTTCAAGGACCTTACTGGATCGCTGTCTCTGCTGCATGCAAAATGAGTCTGGCGGAGCACTAAGGTGCTTCTCCAGGTAACTGAGGCACGCTGAGGGAATATTTCTTAAAACGGTGACTTGAACTGCACTGGATGGAGAGGCTTACATCACTAGGCTACATCTGGATGCAGTCTCTCAGCACTGATCAGAGCCGCTGAGCCCTCCAAAGCCTTTGTTTCAAGATCAATAAAAGGAAATAGCATTTTATGTATCAGAGAAATTCCAAACGGTGGAAATGTATAAACCCAAAATGGGATTTATAAAAAAAACAAGGAGTCTGCCTTGATCCTTCCAAGTTAGCATCATAATGGATAAAGATATCCTATAAAATGATTATGGTACAAATCTTAGGATATGAGCCTAGGACAATGGGTCTGGGCCAATGTGTTATGTCAAACTAGGCTCAGATCCCTGCCTCTACACAGGATTTAGCTTTGCTCTTCTGACGTCTAAATGAAACAGGAAATGTAACAATGATGTATATAAGCCAGCTGTCCTCCGCGGTTGTGGAAGAGTAAATGACATACAGTACAGAGCAGATGCGGTCCAGAAGACCAGATGGCTCAACCTTAATCCATATTAACAGCGCAGGTCTGCCATACCCGTCACCAGGCAGGCTGTTTACACATGACCTGGCCAGAGATTCCAGGCTTTCTCTGAAACAGTGCTTCTCAACCTTCCTAACGCTGTGACCCTCTAATACAGGCCCTCATGTTGTGGTGACCCCCAACCATAAAACTGTCTGTGTTGCGGCTTCGTAACTGTAATTTTGCTACCGTTACGAATTGTAATGTAAATATCTGTGTTTTCCGAAGGTTCCTATGACTCCCAGGGGGAGGCTGACCTTGCTCTAACACCCTAGTGAATCAAATGCTGCAGAGACCTGGTCATGAAGTGCTCCAGCAGATAACAACACCTCCAAATCTAGGCCTCACGGCTGTCTGTTTACTTTGTGTAATCGTTACTTTTTTCTGATGCCGTGATAAAATGCCCCAATAAAAGCAGCTGCAGAGCTTATTAGGGGTTTAGGTAAGGTCCACCCTGGTAGGGAAATCATGGCTGCAGGAGCTTGAGGAGCGGGTCCCCTGGCATTGGTGGGCAGAAAGCTGAGAGAATACGCAGTTCACATTTGCCTCCGTTTGGCCCAGGACCCCAGCCTACGCAGAGCTGACGCCCACTGCCAAGGCGGGCCTTCCACCGCAGGGAACCTCATCTCCACACTCCTTCCAGACATGCTCCAAAGCTAATTTAGTCCAGATAATTTCTTCACAGATGTGTCCAGAGGTTGTCCCCTAAGGGAACTTAATGATGTCAAGCTGACACTATTACCCATCGCAACTAGGGTCCAGACTTCTACTGGTAGTGTTCCTTTGTGTCATTGGTCAAATTTAAAAAGTGAATTTACCAACACAGTGGCTTCCCTTTCTCCTGGGTCTTAAGAATCCAGTAAATATAAACGTTCCTTAGTTTACAATAGTGTGGTTGGATATTATAAGCTAAGATGCACTTAAGTCCCTAATGCACTGAACAGCCTGTTCAGCCGCTGAGACACGGCAGTGTTCGCTGCCGCCCATCATGGTCTCAGGCTGCCCCCGGCTCCACCTCCCTGCTATTGCTCAGTATTACAGGTGCGCAGACTGCATATCGCTCATCTAGGAAAAGAAAAGTATTCAGACTTCGTAATTTCTACCAACTGTGTACTGCTTTCATCCAAAAAGCAAGAAAATCCTAAGTTGGGGACCACTCATAATGCATAATTTCCCCCATCATTAGCCATGGTTTGGTATGTCTTTCAGTGATAGAAATCCATTAGCTATGGATACTTCCTCCATGATTAATAAGGTTAAGACTTTTTTTTTTTAATGTCAGACTGAAGAACAAAGAACACGATAAGCTTAGCAGGCCAACAAGCAACGGAGGCAACGAAAGAAAACTGTGAACGCCCTGAATTTTGTTCACGCTATGTTAAAAATAAGCTCTCATATTTAATTTGGGAATGCTTGCTCCACACACTCACTTCAGAGAGACATTTCCTTCTTTAATGGAAACTGATGGGTTTACTTATTCATGAATAAGCCTATTCAGTAAGAAAACAGCCCTGAGATGGGCAGAACTCTCTCTTTCTTTCTTTTCTTTCTTTCTTTGTTTCTCTCTCTCTTTCCCTTCCTTCCTTCCTTCCTTCCTTCCTTCCTTCCTTCCTTCCTTCCTTCCTTCCTTCCTTCCTTCCTTC